TGTGTGTAATGTCTGTCCACGCGAGCAAAGGTCTACAGGATTCAGGGAGGTCCATGGCGAGCCTGTGCACTTGTTTACAGTGTTTTCCGTTGCGTATGATGGAACATGTCCCTGTCGACGCTGCCAGATTCGTGCTCCGCCAATTGCTGACTCCGATAAAGGAGACCAACTGCTGGAAAACGTCTATACGAACGATATGGTAGTCCGATCCGACTTGGTAGTATCATACTTGAATAGAATGTGGTACCTACTCGCTGAAAGCGTCATCACTTTTTGAGTGATTGACGCCTCAACGCTGTCTAAGTTTAATGCTCTCATGTTCTTCCATGAAAGCATAACAAATGAGCTACCAAACGACCGGACCACTCAGCTCCCCACCAGTAAGTGTTGCGCGCCGTACAATTGAAGGGTTTACTCCCTAGAATGTCTCTCACTTATAGCAGCTGAGTGTGCGCACGTGCGTGCGTGTGCGCGCGTCTGTGTGCCTGCCTGTACTGTTCAAGAGGACATTATCAGAGCAGTGATCAGTAGTCCCCAGCGAATTTGAGAGGACCGAGGTGGTCCACTTCGAGAGTTTTAATTTTCTGCGAATGATAAGCAGTTCACCTTCCCGGAGCTTCTTTTCCTCTTAGATCTTGCAATTTGCTCAACATCTTCAAAACATCTAAAAAACACGCAAAACATCTTCCACAACTGATAAGTACGCGGCACTTCGTCCATTCTCCAACAAGCAACACCAGGCGAAATGTGAAAAATGTAAAAGGCAGATAAGCTGTATTATCTCGGTAGGGTATTTTTGGGAGAGAAGCAAGCTGGAGAACTCCCGGAGAACACCGAAAAATAGGTAAGAAATGAGGAGAATCAAAAGAAACGGTAATCAGGGTTTGCGATTTGGAAGGAGAAGTCATACCAGAGTGGGAACTTATGGGAGAGGGGCGGGAGAGGAGGGGTCGTACTTTGCAAAAATTTTCCCCAAATCAGATTTAGTTTTTTTTTTCAGAGTATATCCCATTTCGTTCCCATTTTCGCTCTTTTCGCTCACTCTGCCCGTGCTCTGATGGGTAACCTGCGAAACGATGGCGATGAAAGTTGCACTTGAACGGTCCGGCGAAGGCACAGCGAAGGGCAACAATTGAGAACGCGTCAAATCACGTCGTCATCAGAATGTTGGATCAAAGTACAGTGCTCTTCTTATCAGGCATCGCCTTCAAGATCCACAGCGCTAGCCTCTAAGCAAATAGCCTCAAATGCCCTCTGAAACCAACCTTTCGTGGGTTGGTCCCCTCTTTTCGATTCATACGCGACCTCTTTTATGTTCGAAATGCTTGTGCACACAAAAAGTGCCAAATGAAACTTTTTTAATGCGGACCGTTTATCTACAGCTATAAAAAACGGGTTATTGTGGATATAAAAACCACATAGTTTGACTCATGGACACTCGAGAATGTTTAGACTCGTTGTACTTCTCACTGCTGCAGGTTTGGTATTATCGTGCAATCCTGGAGTAGGTAAGTGGTCCACATAGCGCGGATATTTTGCACAGATAAGCTAAAACTTCTTTCTAGGGCCAGATGCCACGATTGTGTCCAATCCTATGTTCGCATTTTCATTCTATCCGCCTGTAGCGTGGACTTATTACGACGTGAGTTTGGACTTTATCCGATCAGTACAAGAGGACCTTTCAACCGATATCTAGGGAGTACCGCCCTCAGGCGTTCAAGCTTCAACTGCCACTGTCTATGCTGGACAACAGGCGTCCTTGAGCGATGCTCAACGAGTAATGCAGAACGATATTGACTCAGCAGTAGGTTCTTTCGGAGCTACTTCATCCTTCTAAGGAAGCACCAGTATTTGAAAAACTTGTTTCTATCCACCAATGGCAGATTCTGAAAGCGCTGAACAAACTCGGAGTATCACCACAAGGAACGACGTGGCAAATGAGTGGCTATACTCCTCAGAACTGCCTCATCCGTGCGGATAATGGCCAGCAAGTGAGTCGAACTTACTGCTCGTTCTCAGCCGCAATGTTCAAGTCTCAGTGACCTGCACAGGGATGGAGAGCTGTAGGAACGTGTGTTCCACAAATTGGAGCTGTTGTCGCAACAAGGACAGTGGCAGACTCTGACACAGGCACCAGCAACCTTCAGGTACTCATTGAAAGCTTTCAAAGAGAAATATAAAGGGCTCGCGGTGATCAGGTCCCTTTGGGAGCGCCCTCATTTATCTATATGTAACCACAGTCGTACTGTAATAAGTAATCTGTAATTAGTAAGTGATTAGCCTTTACCATAACAATCGGTTGACCGGACTCGCCATTGGGCACATTTGAGGTTTATCTCACTCAACAAGCCAATTATTAAGCAATTAACACTCGGAGGATGGAGAGTTGCCTCTGGGTGGGATAAGATCAGCGAAAATGTGAGGACACCATTGGTGTCAAAAGTTAATCCAACAAACCCGTGAAGGTAGTGGCTAAAGTAGCCTACCCATTCGCTCTAGGACTTTTCGATGGAACATTACCTGTAGCATGTGGAGACAGTTAGCTAGAAAATACTAGCCGGCTCGAACCGATCGCAGCAGTCCTATTAGGTTGTCCGGAAAGTTCTGCACGTTTTGAGTGTTTCACTTTAAACGATCATAACTTTCTTAACACTCATCGGATTTAATCCAAATAAGCACCATTCGAATCAGCACACTTTTGCCAATGTGACAGCAGTCGAGAAATCCCATCAAAAAAACTGGGTGGTCGAGAATCACGAAATCCACGAAGGCTTTTTTGCCTGGTCCTGATTGATGAAGTATTTTCCAGCAAGGGAGTTCTGAAAATGTTTGAAAAGGTGATAGTCGATTGGCGAAAGGTCTGAAGAATATGGCGGTTGAGGTAGAACTTCAACCCCCAATTCGTTCAATTTATGGATAGTGATTTGTGAAACGTGTGGGCGGGCGTTGTCATGCAAAAGAATCGGACCCTTTCTTTTGATAAGTGTTGGCTGCAGCTGACATAAAAGTTATAGTGGATCACACCAGCCGATGACCACCAAACTGTGACCAGAATCTTTTTTTCGCTTTGAAAATTACCTCGGTGGTTCGTCGAAATCCAACCACTGTCCGGAACGTCTCCTGTTATCATACATGACCCATTTTTCATCACAGGTGACAATTCGGCCCAAAAACAGGTCGTTTCTGCTGCGCAAAAGCAATGCAGAAGGAACCTCGAGACGTGCCAATTTCTGCCGGTCACTCAAATTGTGGGGCACCCACTTGTCGAGTTTTTTCACCTTCCCAATGCGTTTCAGACCATCTGCAACAGTGGATTTGCCAACGCCTAGCTTTTCTGCAATCTCTCGAACTGTTTGGGATGGGTCAGCCTCCACAAACGCCTTCAAATCCTCGTCAGTATTGCTTTAGGTCGACCGCTACGAGGTTCATCTTCAAGGCTGAAATCTCCAGAACGAAATTTGTTGAACCATTGCCGCACAGTGCTTTCTCTAGCACTATTGGGCCCCCACACCTGGTTAATTTGTTGAGCTGTTTCGATTGCGGATTGCCCCAATTTATAGTCGAAGAAAAAAATCGTCCGAAGTGCTCTTTTCACATGCTT